CTGGAGGGTTTAAGCTGTGTGAAAAAAGACTGGTTGTCTGGTACGTGTGACAAAACAATTCTTAAGTAAGCATCCATCGGTTTCGACCTCGTGGTAGGTCACGTGGCATGAAAATGATGTTATAGTGTGATGTTTTGATTCCTTAATAAACGAAAACACTTAGTGCTTTCGATACAGAAATAAAAAATGTCTTGTAGTTTCAGAATCTTCTCGACGCCCTTATTTTACCAATTCAAAAAGGGCCAATAAAATTCATAGAATTATGAAAATTCTACGAAGACCCTCATGTTATTCTTTAGAAATATTCATTTTTATTCTCATATATATTCTTTTTTACTCATAAAAAATTAATTTTTTTAATGATTTGAGTATTAAAGAGTATTTTACAAATATTTTTTTTTATATTTCAATCCTAAAAAATACACGTCAGTCCATTCAGATTCTATCACCTATCATAACCATGCTCATATCCCGTAAGAATAAAAATGAATATTTTTACGTTGATTTTTCCTAGTATTTGTAACATGTAAAAATAAAACTTATACCTTTTTTAGTGATTTTAACAATTTATTTTCAAATAATTGTTCAAATGCTCGAATAAGTTTAGAAAGGTTAACTTTCAAAATTTAAAGAGTTTCAAAAATAATTAGTTCTATTTGGAATTTCAAATTTGATCAAATTCAAAAAGAAATGAAGATATTATGAACAAAAATAAACTATGAAAAACATGAATTTGATTTTACTCAATGGTAAATGAAATTCTAAGAAAGATTCAGAGTAAAATATGTTAAAGAAATGCAGAAAAGTTAAACAGATTTCTAAACAAAAGTCATACATAACTTGAATAAATTGAAAGTATTGTAAATCACAAACATTTCATTAGTCGTCCTTATTGTGGTTACGAAAATTTCAGTGTGTAATGCCTAATTAACTTATAACACATAACGAAGTATAAGAATCTCATATCTATTAAGGTTGATCTATGGTTGTTTCTATAACACTAATTTATTTATATGCAATGCCTACACTATGCTATTTATTCTTTAATGCGTTTAGCCATGTTATTTATAACCTTTTATCTGGATGTATTTCAAACCATATATGTTTGTCTTGTTACGGTGAATTCTTTTGATGGTATTTATAGTCTTCTTGAACAATTAATATTTCAATTCATTCAATTCTTCACTAAGAATCTTTCTGGGTAGAGGATCTCCTAAAATCATCATAAACTATTTAACATATTTTTTCTTGATCAACAATTAATTAAATCCATTAACTATATATTATTTTAATTCCCCCAAGAATACAATTAGTTAAGAAGCCCAAGTTTTAATTTTCTTGATTTTGTATTAAATTTCAGAAATGTTTCATCAATTTTAGTGGCAAATAAATCATTTAAATATAAGTATTTTTTGGTAAGTAGCACAATATGTTAGCACGGGAGCCTTTGTTTCTTCTTTCCTACTACTTTCATTAGGTTTGTTTACAATAATCGATGCATATTTTTTTTATTCCAAATCAAACTTTAAAAAATAATACACGTGAGTTTTTTCAAATTTTTCTTCACCAATTATATGTATTATGTTTTCTAAAGGATCGTTCATTTATTCATCAAAAAAAAATTATTGTTCTTAACACAATAAAAATATCTAATATTTCATGTCAATTTCATATTATATAACCGTGCACTATACTAAATATAAATAAGTGATTAATAACATTTTTTTTTTCCAAATTCTCACATATTTATTCACAAGAACATTAATATGTTTCATTCATAGGTTTTCCATTTTGACAAAAAAATTACAATAATTTATTGATTTGTTTTTCATATTTTTTATTAAAGTGATATCTATTCATTTAACTTCAATCCATAACTGTTAAGGATTGTAATGATGCAGAAGAAATATAGAATGACAGAGAGATTGGGAAACTGAGAGCTATTTCTAATTAACAAAGACATTGGTATACAAGAGTATATAAGTAGCAGAAAAGTAAAATACTGCTAACTAACAGTATGACAGTTAATACAGTTATTGAATATTTGGATTAACTCAACACAACCCCTTAATCCAAATTTTCAAATGACTTAACACCTAGTAAGCTTCTTAACTTTACAAATTTGTTTTGTCTCAGTGCTTTGGTAAAGACATCAACAATTTGATCTTCAGTAGGGCAATATATCAACTCCAGCCTTCCTTTGCTGACTTGATCTCTCAAAAAGTGAAATTTTGTTTCAATGTGTTTACTCCTTCCATGAAAAACTGGATTTTTGGACAAGCTAATAACATATTTGTTGTCTACTAGAAGTTGTATAGGCTTCCTACACTCTAACTTCAATTCATCAAAGAATGTTTCCAACCATACACATTGACAGACTGTTTTTGCAGATGAGATATATTTTGCTTCACATGATGAGAGAGCAACCACGTTTTGCTTCTTAAAGCACCACGAAATTGGTAATCCCATGTATTTGATCAAATAGCGGTATGTGCTTCTCCTATCAACCTTATCACCATACCTCTAGAACTTCTTCAACATTGGTTGTCATTTTAGGAAAGAAAAGATCGAGATTTGTTGTCCCTTTCAAATATCTCAGAATATGTTTAACTGTCATCAAGTGTGTCTGCCTTGGATCACCCATAAACCTGCTTATCAAACCAACCCCATACCTAATATCGGGTCTGTTATTACAAATGTATCTAACAGATCCCATAATCTGTTTATAGAGAGTAGCATCCACTTTCTTCTCACTTGCTTGATGAGTTAAGTGCAAATTAGCCATGACTGGTATAGGAGCACTGTTACAATTCTCCATATTGAACCTCTTCAAAACTTCATTTATATATCTTTTCTGATAAAGAAACATTCCATCTACTGTCTGCACAAACTCCAATCACAGAAAGTAACTCAGATTACCAAGATCTGTCATCTCAAACTCTTCCTTCATTCTCCTTTTGAACTCTTCAATCTCATCTTCTGAATCTCCAGTTACTATCAGATCATCTACGTAAAGGCAGATTATTAGAATCCTCTCCTCTATAACAGATTTTACATAGATACCTGATTCCACAACACATTTTTGGAACCCAAGTCTGATCAGCAGTGAGTTGATGTGATTATTCCAAGCACAAGGTGCCTGTCTGAGCCCGTATAAGGCTTTATTCAATCTGTAAACTTTTTGCTCCTCTCCTTTCTTCAAAAAGGGAGGAGGTTGTCTCACAAAGACTTCTTCTTCCAGTGGTCCATTCAAGAAAGCTGACTTAACGTTCATTTGGCATATTTTCCAATTCTTGAAGCTGACCACTGCTACTACTAGTCTCACGGTTTTAAGCCTTGCTACTGGTGCATATACATCTGTGAAATCAACTTCAGGCTTTTGTAGAAAGCCTTTTGCCACAAGTCTGGCTTTAAGCTTTGTCACTCCTCCATCTGGTTTATATTTGGTTTTAAACACCCACTTAACATCAATGGAATGTTTATGTTGTGGCAATTCTACCAGATCCCATGTTCTGTTCTTCTCTATAGCCTTTAGATCTTCCATCATTGCTTCTTTCCATTCTTTTATATCTATAGCCTGTTTCCAAGTCAAGGTTTCTACATCAACCAAAAACGCAGAATGAACAAGTTCACCAGAACTAGTTATATCACTGTTTGCAAAGACTTCATGATCTGTGAGTCTAATGAATGGAAATCTGGTTCGTTGTGACCTTCTATTATGAGCTCCATCATCTGTAATGATGTTTTCAGTAGTAGTAGAGGTTTTGTTTTCTAACCAACTTGGCATAGACTCTGTCTGCAGACTTGCTTCACTTTCTTTCTAACTCAATGTTGCAGCCTCGTCTACTATCACATCTCTGCTTATAACAGTCTGTTTTTCCTCTGGACTGTATAACATGTATGCTCCTGTTGAATGATAGCCAACTAAGACAAAAGTCTCACTCTTGTCATCCAACTTTCTTCTTCTTTCATCTGGAACATGTTTAGAACAAACAGATCCAAAGATTCTCAAGTGATGAACCACGGGCTTGCTTCCTGACCATGCTTCTTCAGGAGTACAATCTAGTGATGTCTTTGTTGGACTTCTATTCAACAAATATGCTGCAGTAGAAACAACTTCTCCCCACAAATAATGAGGTAACTTCTTCCCTTTGATCATGCATCTAGTCATGTTGAGTAGCATCCTGTTTCTTCTCTTGGCTAACCCACTATGTTGAGGTGTATATGGAGCAATGACTTTATGTATGATTCCTTTATCATCACAGAATTCACCAATCTCTTTTGAGTTGAACTCACCTCCACCATCAATTCTAAACATTTTGATCTTCAAACCAGATTGCCTTTCTACTAAGGAACAGAACTTCACAAAATATAAGAACACCTCTTTCTTTTCTTTTAACAAGTAAATCCAAATTTTTCGAGTCCATTCATCTGCAAAAACTAAGAAATATTTGTGACCTCCAATTGATAGCACATCGAAGGGACACATACGTCTGAGTAGATCACATCAAGAGGTTGTTTTGCTCTCTTGTGTGCATACTTCTTGAACTCCTTTCTGGTTGTTTTCCAATAGCGCAGCCTTCACATATTTTGCTGGGAATGGATATCAGTGGAACTCCTTTCACCATTTCTTTGTGTTTTAGAAGACCTAAACTCTTAAAGTTCATATCTCCAAATCTATAGTGCCACAACCATCCTTCTTCCTTGACATTCACAATAGATAAGCATTGGATTGTTATAGTATTCAGATTTACCTTGAATGTTCTGTTTCTAGAGAGGGGAGCCTTGAGGACTGAATGTTGCTTTCTGTCAAATACTTCTATGTAATTTTGCTGCATGGACATTGTATATCCTTTCTCTAGAAGCTGCCCCAAACTCAACAAATTATTCTTCATTGTGGGAATATACAAAACATCATTCATATATGCTGGCGTGCCATTTTTGCGTGAAACCAACACTCTTCCAGCTCCCTCAGCCATGATTGTGCTGTTATCGGCAAATCACACACTGCTATTTATACTTGTGTCAAGATCTATTAACCACTCTCTTTTTCCTGTCATATGGTTGGAACAACCTGTGTCAAGATACCAACACTTGTCATCCTCTACATGATTCATGGTGCTCATCAGTAACACGTGGTCTGAGTCTGTCTCACACGCGTCTTCTTGTGCAAGATTTGCTTCATCATTCTTACTGCTTTTCTTCACCGTTTCATTGTGCCAGCATTCTGAAGCATAATGCCCATGCTTATTACACGTATAACACTGGATGCTTCTTTTATCATAGTTTTTCCTGCCTCTGCCTCTGCCTCTGCCACTGGATAGCCTTCCTCCTCTTTTATTTACTTTCTTCTGATAGCTACGATTTTCATCTCCAGATTTTTCAGAGGAATTTGTATTTCTGCCTCCACTTCGTCCAGCTTTTGAACGTCCTCTACCTCTCCACGACCTTTTATCTTTTGTTCAACTCTGGTATGTAAAGCTTGGTTTGTGCCTTTGTCAGTATTTCTTCTCTTAGTCAGCCTCTGTTCATGTGCTTCTAGTGAGTTTTGTAACTCTTCAACCCTCATGGTTTCAAGATCCTTGCACTCTTTTATCGCAACAACTATATGATCATACGAAGGAGTTAGCGTTCTAAGAATCTTTTCAACAATCTTCCAATCTTTTACATTCTTATCACAGGCTCTCATTGCATTCACAGGCTCTCATTGCATTCACTATGACATGTATCCTCCCAATATACTCTACAATTGTTTCTTGCTCGCCCATACACAGAAGTTCATATTGTCTCTGTAGAGACTGTAATCTAACTTTCTTTACTTTTCCGGAATTATCATAGCCTTCTTGTAAGATATCCCATACCTCCTTTGTCGTGGTAGCTTTTGAAACTTTCTGGAATATCGTAGCAGATATGCACTGATGCAAAAGCATTTTAGCTTTGCAATCCAATCTCCTATTTTCTTTATACGACTTCTTCACCTCATCTGTATCATTCTTTGAAGGTTCTTTGAAACCTTTCTTCACGATCTCATCCACTTCTTGGAAACCAAGAATTGTATCCATTTTGACACACCAATCATCATATCCTTTGCCGTCAAACACTGGTAGGTTACTTGAGATCATCCCTCCAGTAGCCATCAAAACTTCTTCCCGAAGCTCTCTTCTCTTCTCAATAGGTTTTCTGGAACCTCACACCACTTCTAACAGGTTTTCGCAACCTTGATCTGGATACCACTGTTAAGGATTGGTAATGATGCAGAAAAAATATAGAATGACAAAGAGATTGAGAAACTGAGAGCTATTTCTCATTAACAAAGCATTGGTATACAAGAGTATATAAGTAGCAGAAAAGTAAAATACTGTTAACAAACAGTATGACAATTAATACAGTTATTAAATATTTGGATTAACTTCAATCCATAACTACATATTTCTCACTTGTATAATTGAATGTGAGAGCTTACCCATTTGGAAAAATATTTTGCATAATTCACTGTAGCATGTATAAGCAAAGCTTATTATTGTTAATTGATAAAATTTTGATAACATTTCACATTAGTTTTTGAAGTAAAAAAAAATACATTTGAACAACAATACAAAATAATTTCAATCAAAATTTCACTAAATTTAAGTAAAGACTTATAACAATGTAAATTTCAACAAGTTATGAAAAATATTTTTTCCAATAACCAATCTAATAATTTAATATTTAATAGAAATTATTAATCTTTGACTATTTGAACTAAATCTCAAACAAAAATTAAGATTTCCTTAATGTGCATGTGCATGAATAGAATAAACAAAATACTATAACAAAAACAAATTATATCAGTCAAATATATTTAATACATCTTATTATACTGTCAATGTAAACTACATTTTATAATTTTCCTATAACTTAATCCTTATCATTTTAAACAACGTAGGGACTATAGGATTAAGTAGCTCCTAGGGACTAAAATAATTGATTAGTCCTATAAATTTTACCATTCCAAATTATAATTGTATTTATTATATAATATTATTCACTCTCTAAATTTAATTTTAATAATTAAATTTACAGAATTAAAAATATCATATTTTTAATTAAACAAAAATTACACCAACAAACAAATTCAATGGAGACATTCATATTTTTCTATGATTGAGATCTTACAACATAATCATAGTTTCAATTTTAATAGTACAATGGAGATAGAAAGCATCTACTTCTATGACACATTTAAATCTACAAAAAAACTTCAATTCAATTGAATAAAAACACTCATAGTGACAAAAGACCCACACCAACTAGCTTAAAGTGGCAAAACGACTATTAACACATCCATATATACAAATTAAGATTGTTGTAAAAACAAAAAAGATAAAAAAAAATCGCGCTAAATATTGTTGTTGTAAAACTAAAAATTATAATTTAAATATTTTTACGTTGAATCCCAACCAAACATTCCAATATAAACAAAATCCACTTGTTTAAAAAATTACTCCTTATTATCTACCTATTCTTCGTGCATGTAAACATGTCCATAAAATAGTTCTTCCTTACACTCTCAAGTAAACATATCCATATTACTTATAAATCCTTCTTCTATATTACTTATAATTTTATCAAATAATTGTATTCTTTTATCTCTTTCTCATTATATCAATGTTTCTACCCAAAAAAAAAATCTTTACTTAGTATTTTGTTTTGCAATAAATGTATTAACAAATTTATTTAATAAATCAATTCTTCTAAAAATTATTGTCATTTATTTTTGACGTTCTTTGTATAACCTGTAAAGACCTTTAATTAAAAAGTTACAAAACAGTCGTAAGAATTAAATTACAGTATGTACTTAACTTGGAAGCTTAAAAAACACTAAAAGATTACTGATTTTAACAGCATAAAAGTTGGAGATATAAAAAATGTATTTCTGAGGGTTCGTATAAAATAAGTAGAAGGAAATTTATATGTTGTATAGGTTACTAGGAGTGATATTAGGATGTATAAATGGTCAACAGAAAGAGTTGAATTTGAGTGGCTGAAATTCGATAAGTTATCTAAAGACTTAGATAAGGTATAGTTGATGGTGTGGACGTGATAATATGAAAGTATTTTTCATTTCGATATATAATGTTTCTCTACGTAACTTTCTTTGTATTGATTGCACCCTCGCTCTCCGGGGTTCACCACCTCGACACTAATAATGAGAATGTTTGAAACTGTATCGGGTACAATAGAGACGCGTGGCAATGTGACCACCTAGCCGTTATATCGAAGACAACTCATCTTTTTAAATCAATCAATGAATTTGGAAAAATTTGAGTTGCAGCCACGTTATTATGAAGTTAGGTCATTGCTCAAGTTTCTCTCATACTTCGTTGCCACTCATATAGCTAAGGATACAAAAGGTTTATAAAATATTTTTCTAGGGGAAAATTAATTGATGTTTTATTTCTTATGTTTTTTAAAGTTAATATTAATATTTCTATTTTAAATTAATAAAAGCCTTTTAATTTGGAAAAAAAATATGTGAGATTAGTTTTTTTTATACTTGAAGTTATGATTTGGTAACAATTTTTTTTTCCAAAATATTAAAGAAAGGATAAATTTCATATTTTATAAAATTTCAGGAATAAAATCAAGTTTCACACCAAAATAAAAATACTTCAAAAATATTTTTTCTTTTTGTTTACGATTTAATAATCTTGTATTATTTAGGAGTCGAGATCAAAGACAGTTTACTCTTTTCACTTTATGACGTGTCTTTAAAATGGACATTCAAATGTATAGTGATTCACTTTAACAATATCATGTAACAGACTTAGGATCGAAACATTAGTACCCATCGTAGAATTGATAAAATCATCGATTCTTTAAGCCGTCTATTGGAAATGACCCGTTATTTTTCTTATATCTCAACTGAAGGCTTATGTTCCTACCACACTTAATAGTCCCACATTATCTAGGAATCAATACCTAAGGCAATTAAACATTCATTCATCCTTTCATCATTTCAGATATTTTTTAAAGACAAAACTTATACAAAACTTCAATCTCCAAAGCGGATAATATTTGAGATGTATGATGATTGAAACAAATATAATAGAAACAAGATTTTTTCAAAAAAAAAAAATTCTTTTTTAATATTTTTAAACTATCTTCCAATTATTCTTATATCATATATTTGATTACCCCTGTCTTACAAAATATTTGTAAAGATGTTCTAATTTAATTCAACTCCCTCTTCTATATAGCTTAAATGTTCTTTTCCTATCTCGATCTTATTTATTATTAATAAATCACTTAATAAATACTTAAAGATAAAATTTAATAATTTATTCATATATTTTAGTATATCTTTAACACCATTACAAGAACACCATAATATTTAATATTATATCACTAATACAGTATATATCCAATAGATAAGTTTGTACAAGAGCATATTCACAAGGCTAAACTCACTAGAATGCACTCTCTCAATATTATAATTACCTATATACTTTCGTTTTCTATTTTTCACTTATGGATTTAAGCATAAAAAAATGTCATATAAAGCTTAATTTGATTCTATGTTTATTCCTTATCGATGTTGAATTCAATTTTTTATTGTTGTTCATAGCTCGAATCACATTTCAAAAGTCGAAGATTTTATCCCATTGATGGCTTAACTAAATATGTTTAATTTCAAATTGTATAAAAGTTATTGTAAGTTTAAGTCAATCAACTTTTACGCTTAATATAAATAGATTTTGTCTTTACATATATGGGTGGGGTGAGGTGAGGAAAGACCTACACGAGAAGAAACCTGTTTTCATATGTCTCAATCATCATACTTTAATATATTTTTTTGTCAAAAGTATCCATGTCTTAATCACTTAAAATTCATTAAATTAAAACAATGATTAAGGATGCGCGCATGCTAATTAACCAAAACATTTTCAAGAAATCAAGAGAAAACATACACTGATCATTTTTTATATTTTCCAATATTGTTTAATTTTTAAATTCATGTTTCACTTTCACCATGATATTAAAATAAAAAATCATACGAAGTCATCGTAAGTAAGTTTAAAATTATGTGAGGATGTTAGAGTCAATAAAAGTTTAAATAATTCAAGTGAGTAAATATCTGGTGAACTAAAACTACTTATATTGATATATTAATTAATTAATTAATTTTGAGTTTTATAATAGTGAGGAGACGATGTATGTACAAGTCACTAATATTGAAGTATACTCATGGAAAAATGTTTAACTATGCATGTGGTTTTGAATCTCGAAGTGTAGGTTAGTTGAGAGAAAGAAGAGGAAGAGGAGGAGAAAAAACAAAAATGGAAACATTAGGCAGAAGAAATTTCTAACAATTTTACATGGTCAGTTTTGAATATTTAAAAGCTAATAATGTCACTTGATAAACTATCTCTTGTGACAAAAAAAATGAAATTAAATTAAATAGTATGAGTTCATAAACTAAAATGATTACCACCATTGTAGTAAATTGATTCCATCTACACATGCCATGAGATGGATATTTAAAGGGTAGATGGAATCAATTTTTTTTTATCACGTAATAAATTGACTGGCATATAGTATGAGTTCATAAACTAAATAATTTCGTTAATATTTGATGACATCAATAATGAGTACTTTTAATTTGAATGTTTTTAATGATCAAATAGTCAAAGTTAGGTTTTGAAAGAATGTCAATTAAGATGTTCTAATTTTATTTGTTTTTAAACCTTCTTTTCCAATAGTTATTTGTAGATATGTGTGATTTTTTTTTTCATAAACACCCTAGCAAAAACGTTTGTTTTTATACTTACATGTCTTCATTTTTGTTCTATTAAATTAATAAGTAAACAAAATATAAAAATAAATAAATTTGTAAAGATAGTTTTAAATGGATCATGTGAACAACAAAAAATTTAATCCTAATAAACTATATCCAATTTTCAACGTTTAACTTAGTTTATTTTTCTTAGATAAGAAAATTTATATAGATTTTAGAATATTTGATTGAATAGAATAGACAATTTTTTCTTAGAAACCATGGATCCTCTGGTAGAGATCATCCAGTAAGAAAGAATAACTATACGAATTTACTGCGGTTAAGTCTGAATTCTAAAAACTCTTCAAAATTTGTTTTCAA